GGGGGGGAAAACATGAAAAACAAATTTTATTATCATTTATGGTCACTGCGTTATTAAGCACCCACATAACTAAACTGTTATTCATAAGCAAGTTTCAGAAGTAACTGCAGAAGCATTTGATCCAGCAGCTGAAGGTGTTAACTACGGGAGGAAGTAAAAGCTCTGCACAGGTATGACGCAGATATTCCATGTCTCCATGAGCACGTGTTGAGCAGATCAGCATTGTCTTTGGACTACACATTCATACTCACTACAGAAGCAAAGAATTCAAGTAAACACTTATCTTTATTTTTGGATACAAAGCTAAAGAAAATATTTATTACCCACAGCTACACCTTACTATCTCAAGCATTTTAAATATAAGAAAAAATAGTTAGTTACCATTGGTCTGGTGTGCTGTTCCAACATGGTAAGCTGTATGTATGTCTGTAATGTTATCCCCCATCTTGATGCATCTTGGTACATTAAGCCCTGGGGTTAGGGATAGAAAGCAAAGGCAGCCCGTTTTTTTTATTAGGTTGAACAGAGGAGAAAAGTTGTTTATTTCATAAGCTCTTGCACTACAACAGAATTGCTAGAAGTAGCAGAATTACTAAAGATGCTGCTATCAGAATTGACAAGAATTAAATCATTTGCTCTTCTCAAAACACATGTGAGAATTAACAGTCCCAGTCTTTATCAATGTAGGGTATTGGAGATGCTCACTATATGCACTTCAGAATCAGAGTTACTTTGTACTTCTGTGTAAAATCACACACAAGTATTGTCTGACACAGTTTAAAGACACAGAGTAATTAAAAGATATATCTGCTATATATTTTTGTGCACTCAGACTCTCAGTATAATCCAGTAGCTTGTCTGAACTCCTCTCTACATCCCCTTTCATGCAACCAAACCCCAGTGCCTTGATCAAGTTCCCTGATTTTGCAAATAGGTATTCTGTGAATGCACTGGTCATCACCACCAAATTACTCAAAGATCAAGACTTGCTGAAACCACATTTTACATGCAATGTGGGCCTAATGCATACCCAAAAAAACAGAAGAAACTCTGCATTGTGAGCTGTATTTTTAGCTCTACCAGACTACAACCACACCTTTCCTATCAGCTTCATTGACTGGTCTGAACTCATGCATGCCTTTTTCAAAGAGCAATGATTAGAGAATTTATTTCTGCCACGTACCAGAATATTATGACCACGAACATTTCTCCATTTAGCCACTGGTTCTGTCAAAACCTTTTACATGTACAAAGGGAGAGAGATAAACTAGTATGAAAAAAACACCTACACATGTGAAAAATGTGTTCTATATTAAACATGCTTTAGATTTGAAATCCTCAGCTATGTAAGTATAGGGTTATTTGACTTTGATGACTTTATATTACTTTGATTATTACAACATATATCTAAGATTACTTTTGTTACCTAAGAAAGCAAACAAGTGTATTTTGGGTTGCTACTAATTTACAGAGGAATAAACTCTAACCTACAGATTAACTCACCTCTTAACAATGTAAATGAGCATAAAGCAAATGAAAATCAGTACCTCAATGCTGGTAGTTTCTGCAAAATAATCCAGGCATGTTGTTTTTCCACTCGCAATATTCCCCTCGATACATATCTGATGAAAAACAGTATCATCTTTGAAAACTAGATATGCTAGTGCAAATAAATGAATGGTGTATGTAAACACACGCTTTTTTCATACATTCTTTTCCCTGATAAAGTACATGATTTCCTTATAGCATCAATGGACTATTTCATAGGAAGCCTCAGGGGAACAATCCCCAGGATTCCTCT